GCTGAAATTAAAAGCAAACAACCCCAAAAATCCACAATGTATGTATGTGTATAAATAATCACCTGAAAAAGACCTGTTACAGATAAATCACTTTTCTTTTTCAAAATGTCCTAGCTGCAACAACTAATGAGTTAATAGGAATAATACCCATAGCTGTAGTCCAAGCCAGCCTCCATTTACCACCTCACTCATTTCCTCTTTTAATAGGTGACCATTAAACCTTGGGACTGTAAACCACTGATCTCTGAGTGCCTCTGGTGGAACCCCCAGTTGCTCTTTCCTTGGGCTGAGTAATGATTTTAGTGGCATTCTGAGAGCTGTTCGTGAGAAGAAAATCAGAGTACTACTTTCAAACCATGTTTTAATCTGGAAGGAAAACAAAAGTTAACCAACCTGATTTGCACCAACAAATGAGTTTTTCACAAATTATTCCAAATATGTCAAACCCCTCCCCAAACCTTTCAAGCAGAAATAATAAAGAGGCAATTGAAAGTTCAGCTGGAATATGGAAAAATTAGAAGACCTAAGTTTTGTGTGATTAATCAAACCTTTGTCAAAGTTTTCCTCAGAGGTACCAGACCTGACTTTGTTGTGTTTCTCTATCCCCTACCCAGAGCTGGAATTCTATTACCTCTGCTGGCTGGCACAATGTGAAGCCCAGTTCCTGAACATTCACAACACTATAAGAAATGGTCTTAATGAGCATCAACTTCAAATTATTAGTCAAATCATTACTATTAGCCTCTTTGAGAAAACTACAGTTGGTTTTACCTTAATAATATTGTCTGAAATCTCATTATATTCTGGAATCTAGGTGAATGAACCATTCCAGCTCGACCACTTTTCCTTCTGTTTAGCTGTGTTCTTGGGAAATGATTTCTAACTTGCAAAATGAACGCAGTTCACTGCATTTTAACTACTTAAAGATTCCTTCAAAAGTTTTTGCCTTTTCATTTTGAGGATTATGTATGCTTTTGGTGAAGACATTTCCAAACCTAGACCTAGCTCCTGCAGATTGATAGAAGGTGTAGCTGCAATATTGCCTCACGGTACACTACACCATACAGTGATGTAATGTATTAGTTACTCCAGCTGTATAATATGGAAATCAGAGTGTAATTCTGAGAAGGTTTTTTGTGCTGGTAGAAGAGGAAAATTAGGTGAGGATAGTATTTCACTGAAGCCATCCACTTCCCATTTTTATTAAATAAAGGAAATAATACTTAGCTTCCTGCTGCTCAATACTGCCAGGATTCATCGATTAATGTTTCCAAGCATGGCTGAAGAAGAAAAGTGCTATCTATTCACACCATTTTCTGATAGATAAATTACCCACCAGCCACACAAATGCTTGTTTCCTTAATTCAATTGTCAACAGTGTCCTGTGATAAATTATTACACTGGAAGTGCTTTTAAATGACGAGTTTTTCTGCTTAATGGCATTTCAAGAAAATGTGAGGTGTGTGTTACAAACTCAGACGATTTTACCAGGAGAGGAACTGAAAGAAGCCTTTTGTCTCATGATGGTTTCTGGATGTGAGTTCTATGAATGCCTCTGAAAACTGGAGAACAAAGTGTTTCCTCTCCCAGTTTAACACTGCCAAGAGCCTCAGAGCTCTGAGTCATGTCATCAGTATGGCTGACTTCATCTGAAAATGACTAAGCAAACCTAAGCATTCAAAGTGCCTGTGTGTTGGCGCTGGGGTTTCTTTGGATAATGTTTGCAAATGTTGCCCAGGAATGACAATGTTGTGCATATTTAACTGTGTACGGTTTCATTTACATATTAAAGCAGTATCATTTTACTTGTCATTCAACTCTGCATCTCCTAAGCAGCCTATTGCAATGTACAAGTTCCCCAACATAACGGCTTGTGTGCTTCAAGACTGTAAAGAGGGAGTGAAAGTGGTGCTTTCTGCTATGCCTTTCTGTCATATTCTCCCCTGAATGAATCAGGTACCATTCACTTCAAATGATAAGCCACATCAGTCAGCTTAAAATCTGCTGAATCATGTTTAAGTACAATTTTAGGTTTACGATAAATTTGTAGAAGCATTCTGAATTCCCCTGTATCTTGTTATTAATTTAGAAGGCTTTTAGCAAGGCAGGAGTTTTTCCCCAGATGGTAGATTAATTAGTAAAAACTCTTCTTGTTTATCCTATCCTTACATATACCTTCCTACCATCGTAAAGAGGACTTATAAACATAATAAAATAAAACTGCTTTCACTTCACTGCTCTCTTTCATTGCTAGAGTGCAGGTAAGTGGCATTAGTGTAAATATGAATTGTGTACTTCTTCCTTGCTTTTCTTCTTTTCTCACGCATGCTGCTAGACACATGATCTTTAGACTTCTTTTACAGAAGATGAATGCATATGCAAAAAATCCTTAAAGGTTTGGTTAATTTGTATTTCTGAAATGACTTTGAAGACCTCCTCTTAGGGTGGAACAGGGAATATGTTTTTATCTCTGTAGAACAGACATATATTATTAGAAGGAGGTTTTATCCTATATTTTGAACCTGTTAGCCTGTTAGCATTCTCCTAAGAACTGTCTAAAACTCTGAGTGTCTGTCTTTGTGTTGAAGGCAGAGAAAGAAAAAAAATGGTAAGGGAGCAAGGCGTAACTGCAGAGCCTGCACCTATTTTGATCCTCTTCCGGTTCAATGTGGCATGGAAGTATGTTGTGATGGCAGAGTGCTGTTGATACCTTTTAGGCTGAGTCCCCAAACCAGCGTAGCCAGGCTGATAGTTCTGCTGGGCATTTGCTCATTAGCCCTGCTTGTCAGCCATGTGGATGGTTATAACGCTTCCATTTCTATAGATGCTCACTCACATTATCGTGTGGTGCAGAAATCTTCCAGCATGCTTGCTATTCTCCGAAGAAAGCATATGCAAAAAGAGAGCTCTGCTTCATTTTACCACAGAGCGTGGTACCAAGTTCAGATAATTTAAGGTTTTGAACTGTGTGAGCTAAAATCTTGTAACTCACAAGCAAAATAGGACTGGGCCTGGGTCATACTTGATGAGAAGCTTCCAGATCATAAAGAATATAAATTCTTAAGAAAATCATAAAGAATATAAATTCAATCTAAAATATAGTCTAATGAGATGTCAAGACTTGCTGTTTTTCACCACAGAGTTAGCTTTATTTAAAAACAGTCCAAAATGTATATTCTCAGGAATTAATCTGTAAATAGCTATGGGATCAACCAGC